AAATGAGTGGGGCTGGGGGGGGGGTAATGCCCAAAAGGTGGTTGTAAGGATTAATTGACTTCATAGATGCAGAGTGCTCAGAATGGTGCCTGGCATCAGTGAGTGGTGGGCACACGTTGGATGTCAGAGGGCCCTGGGTTTCAAATCCCTGCCCAGCACCTCCCAGTGTGTGACTTTGAGGGAGGGATTGGCCCCTCCAAGCCTCGGTTTTCTCATCTATCAAAGGGATTAATGTTCATTCCCACCTTGCAGGGTTATCATGAAGAAACAAGCTAAGACCTTCAGCCTGCTTGGCATGATGCCTGCTAGGGGTTACCAGTGACCAAATATTAGCTACTGATTTTATTGTCTGTCATTACTGGTCGCTCCAACAGTTCTTTGAAACAATTTTTTAGACCCCAGATAACGTCCTTATAACTCAACTGGTTTTCTTCCTGCCCTGCTTATATAAATTAAATTATATCTGGCTGTTGACACCACGAGGGTTTAATCCAAGCTACCAGCTGCAAACACACTACCAGTTTCCTTTTTGGTATTTTGCAACTCTGTTGGACAATCAATAGCTTTGTGTATTCACCGTGGAATAGTTTTATCAGCTCTTAAGCTCTGAGATCCAGGAGAGCTTATATACATTTTGAAGCCACTTAGGGCCAGGAAATAGCAGGTTCAAGCAAGCTCTTAAAATAAGTAACCCAAACACCTGCCCTTTTTGCATAATGTGTGGGCGTCAGAGGGCATTATTTTCTCTTTCCAGAATTAAAACAAAGGCTGAGGCCTCTGTGAAGGGCTGACCTGGGGCAGCCAGTAGAGCAGGGCCACTGCTCTTTCTTTGTCCTGCCATTTCTAAGTGAAAAGGGAATTGAAAGGAACCTGTCAGGACTCCAAGTAATGCTTGTTGTCTCCCTTATCTGCACCTGAGCAGGAAGTGACAGGGAGCTCCCGAGCCCTGTCTTCAGGCTGAGCCACCTCCTTGGTAGCCACTGGTATTATGTGATTCTCAAGAAATATTTCTTGAACACCTGCTCTATGCCAGGGACTGTGCTGAGTGCTGAGGAGGCAGTGAAGAAAATAGACCTGATCCCTGTGCTCATGGGTTTATAGTCCAGACTGACAGACAGACTACATCTCCTCATGCCAGGTAACTTGTTCAGTGACTGCTGGGGGAACTTGAGGGAAAAGTACAGCAAGTTCTGGATTTCCTAACCAGAACAGACTGGCCTGGCCTGATGCAGTCACAGAGGGCTTCCTGGAGGCACTGGCTTTTGAGCCAACCTAGAATGAACACAAATCAGCTGTTTTAGGTAGAGGAGGCCCAAGCTGATGCCTAGGTCTGACCTAGAAGCCAGAGGTGGTGCTGCTTTTAACTGCCTATGGTGTGTCCATGCGGAGGGCCACCACACAGTAGGGCCATTTCTGCCACTTGAAACCCTCTCCCACCATCGTTTCTTGGCTCTTCTCATTCCTGAGGTCTCAGCTCACTGTCCTCTCTCTCCCTGCCCTTGTCCTTCCCCGACCTCTCTCCTAAGGGGCCTCCTCTGTGCCCTGCCTGCCCCGTGATTCATTCCGGTGTAATTCATCCCCTCTT